TGCAGTATGGAAAAACCAGGAGCCAAAACATGTGGCTTTTGTCCTCCTGGAATCCTCCACTATCTAGTCATGTGACCTTGGGGAAACTCACACAGCTATCTGATTCTCAATCTTCTCTTCTGTATAAAATATTAAATAAACCCTATCAAATCAGTGAAAGGATTCTATGAAAATGATGTATGCTAAAGTGTGCTATAGAATCTAAAGTGCTAATCAAAATTAAAACATAGAATAACATATTTGTTAAGAGAAGTTTTCTGGTTTTTCCTCCACAAAACAATATATTTCATACATCAGCGAGCTCAGAATAAAAACCTTTTAGGGATGATGAGGTATTATACACAAATGATCCTTGGCTTGTGTTGCAAAGTGTGTTCTGTTGAAATGTTGATACTGGAAAACAAATTACATTTATAAGCCTCTTAAAACCTAAACTTATAATTATATTATAGTGTTTGCATACTTTGTAAAATTTATGTATAGAAACACATTTAAATTGTTTAGCAATCTAACACAATTATTCAGGTAATTATTATTGAACTGAGACTCTTAAATTACTAGTGCAATTAAGGTTATTTATGTAAGAATAAATCTTGGTACAGGAGGATATTTGTCCTTTTTTGTTTCTTCATTTTTAAAATGTTTTTGACCAGAACATAATAAGAATACAAAATTATTTATTTCTCAACAACGATAAATAAGTGGGAATGATTTAAGGCAAAGTGGTGATTCAAACTTCTCACTGCTCTTTGGATATAAAAATGCAGTGAGAAGAATGCAGTTACCTTTCTTCATTGCTCTATGCTGTAGGTAATATTTCTGAGGATGACTTGTTGCTGTTTTTTCACTGTATTTTTCTGGAAAATCTTTTTGTAGCATTTGTTTACAATGATCCCCAAGTTGCATCATACATGCGATTTTGTTACTCAGAAAAAGAGGGATCCTTCTATAAATCCATCTTAGACAGGGATTTCAGGGCTAGCTCTGAAAATTGTGGTTTAACCCCCTCATACTGTGGTTCAAAAATCCAGAAAAAAAAAATTACCTCAAAGTCTTTCTCGGATCATTTCTTTGTTTTTCCATTTTCTGGGTAAAACCCATTCTTCCACTACTAGGGACTCCACCTCATTAGTTTTGAGTACCTCCTTGATATTTTTGCTCAATGATACAAAATTCCCCATTTCCCAAGAAACAACTACTAGGGCTGAAACAAAAATTTTATTGCACTATCTGCCTTGCTTTATTTTTAATAAAAGTTCTTACAACTAGAAAATTCTTTAAACTAGAACTATTTTATCAGTTTAGAACATAGTGCATCCAGCTCTCCAAAAATAGATACTAAAGTTAAGAAATAAATCTATCCAGTAATGCCTTCTCCCCCAAAAACAGACTTGAGGAAAATATAGCACAGAGATTTAAACTTACAGAATTACCAAGGTTTAACCCATGGAGTCTCTACAGTATTCTGAAAGTCTTGGTGGTGCCATATGGCTGTCCTGATTAATAAGAAGATGCAGAAAGCCATTGTGTCAAATTCAGGGATACTTAACATTATTTAAGTTAGCTACTGAAAATGTGCTATACCTTCCCAAGAGAGATTTGCATTGGAGAAACTGTGAGGGTCAGGAATCACAGGCAGATCCTTCCTTATTTTATTAAAATCGAATTACTGGGTCATTTGTTTATCCTTGAGCCAATCATTTCAGCAGAAAAAAAAAAAGAACAATAGACAATGCTAAAAGAATAAATCTCCTAATAAAAAAGGGCAAAGTAAGTATAAAATGAGTATAAAATAATAATGTTATGATAATTGTCATGTTGTTCTTTTTTGTATCTAGGTCATTCTAGGTTTCTAATTATTTGTCACTTTCAATTGTGTACATCAGACAACATGCAATGAGCAAATACCCAATACTACGCATTACTTAGAGATTGCTCCTTTCTGCCCTAGTCCATAAATAATATTCTCTCAACTCTGAGGCAGAGAAGACTCATTGGAATTATGTTCCAGAAACTAAAGTAGGATCTAAGGAACCAGCTTTAACAGTACTCCTTCCAGGAACTCCAATAAAGCTAGGAAGGGACCCTGCAGGTTCCACAGCCTAATGAGGTCTTCATTCACTCACACTGACAGAGATCTTCTACATTATTCATGCATTAACCTGCTGAATGTATCACAAGTACTAAGTACTTTTAAGTACTAAGAAAGATGCAACAGTATTCAGCCTATTTACAGTATACAGATGATGTCTAATAAATATTTCTTGACTTCCAAAAGCTTACAAGAATTAAAAACGGTAAGATACTCGAATGAGCTAAGTAAAAGTAAAAAGTAGGATATTGAGGCAGTGATATTATGCAGTATTGCATGAGAGAGCACAGGCTTATACTGATATTGAAATTTGTTATAAAACTATAGTAATAAAAATAGTGTGTCATTTACACAAGACTAACCAAATAGATGAGTGGTGCAGAATAGAGAACAATGTTACAAATAAATCAACTGAATAAAAACAGCAAGACCATACCAGTTTCACCAAACAGACTAAGTGCTTGACAATACCAACTGTTGGCAAAAATGGTGAGAAAAGGAAACCCTTATACACAGGAAGTAGAAAAATTATAATAGCCCCTAGCAGAGCAAGTTGGCAGTATCTAGAGAAACTGAAAATACTCAAACCATATGACCCAAGAATTCAACTTCTCAGTTTTTATCCTATAGAAATTTTCACACAGTTCCTCACTCTGAAACTCTGCACAAAGAGACATAAAAATATGCTCAATTAATCACTGTTATAACAAGGCATTAAGAAAATGTAATGGTTGATCAAAGAACGGTGTTAAGACAAAGAGGACCATAGATTTACAATTTTAAATAAAACTTGGTTATTTACTAAAAACTGCACTGCAGGAATGAAGGAAGGACATATTTACGATCCAGAGACTGGGCAAACACTATATACCTCAGTTCCTTAGTATATCAAAATCATAGACTTCCTTCAGTATATGAGCACTTCCTTAAAAAGCCCTCCAAGAATTTACTTGGGTTTTCAGGGGAATTGAAGCCTTCTGACATTCACATAGACCTGATGATACTCAGTAGGGAGAGGAGAGTAGACTTCATCAAAATATTTTAGCAATCTTCAAATGGCTGTCAGAAAGATATGCTGGTAAGATGTATTTAAAAAGGGATTGGACTGTCTTTTCAGTAAAACATAAGTACCTATCGTTTGATAACATTTCTCTAATTACTAACAGTTAATAATTATTTAATAAAGAAGATTTCTCATTAGTGGACAAATAAAATATGATATATGCCAGGCGCGGTGGCTCACGCCTGTATTCCCAGCACTTTAGGAGGCCAAGGCAGATGGATCACCTGAGGTCAGGAGTTCGAGACCACCCTGGCCAACATGGTGAAACCCCATCTCTATTAAAAATAGAAAATTTTAGCCAGGCATGGTCGTGCATGCATGTAATACCAGCTACTCGGGAGGCTGAGGCAGGAGAATTGCTTGAACCCAGGAGGCAGAGGTTTCAGTGAGCTAAGATCATGCCACTGCACTCCAGCCTGGACAAGAGTAAAACTCCGCCTCAAAAAAAGAAAATGATATATATTTAAAGTAGTTCCATGAATGAAATTGATGTATATGTATCAGCATGGAGGTAGATCTACAAAATGGATATAAGTAAAATAAATGGTAGCAAAAAGATATGTGTTGTATAATACATATATTGTTTAAAAAAATAAGGACTAAGGTTTTAGGCTGCATATAAATGTAGTAAAATGAACTAACAGGATATACAGTAAATTCATCATAAAGATTGTTTGAGGATAAAAGAAAGAATTGCCTTTTGTTTATTAAAGAACACCTGAATTACCTGTTGAGACATAGTAGTAGAGGATATTTGCTGGATGGTATAAGCAATCAGGCCTTTAATGAGGGCTATCTTTATGGAAACAAAAACAAAGTTTAATGCTTGGAGCAGACTATAAACCCAGGTTTCTAGTCCAGGAGACAGTAAGTTGAGATGATTTCTAGACATTGAGATCTCAGTGTTTTTAGATGGTAGAGTGAAGACAGCAGGGGCTACCCAATGGAGTTCCCAGTTTACAGTTTGAATGTTTGTGATAATGACATAGGTATCAGTGTCACGGTTATAGCTATTTTCTGGAGCAGAGTTTGGAAGATGTGGGAGTTCCTGTGACATTTTTTAGTGGCCCATGGAGTAGCAGCTCCTGGAACAAATGTTGCTCATACATGGTTTGTTGTAGTGATGAATTCTTTGAAGTTTATACCACATCGCCTGGCTTCAGTGTGGAGGGCTTTCTCAGATCCTGGGGAAAGGGTAGATACGACGCAAACTGAGTCCTTATAATGATCTGGGAAGTCAAGTTTTAGTTCTCAGTGATGCCAAGTCAGGAGGGAGAGAGGAAAATTGGAAATATCAATTTGGAGAGTTATAACTAGATATTGAAGGAAACTAGAAAAATTGAAAATTTGGTTAGGCCTGAAAAAAATGTGTAAAATGGATGGATCAGTTCAATTTATGGGTAGATAATAAAACCTTAAAGGCAGTAAGTAGAATTATAATCTGATAATCACAAGGGCATTAACCTCCTTTTTGATGAAAGATAATCAAAGTAATATTTTTCTAAAATATATTTTTCTCATTAAATTTGGCCTGATTATTTAGATAAGTTAAACAAGAATAGTCATTGACCATATAGGCCTATTTAGACATGCTTTATGAAAATTTTTATTTTAAAAAATCTCAAGCTGGACTTTTAAAATTTTCTTGAGACTATGAAGCCAAGCCACGAAGTTATCACCAGTCTTCATCTGTAGTATCTATAAATTTGAGTGAATCTCAATCTTCTTGAGTGGATACTCTAAGGTTCTTGGGCCTGCCAGGAAGTGAACTTTCTTACTCACCTGTAAAGCTAAGAAACCTGTAAATCAGGTACCAGGTTAGGAAACCTGTAAGCCAGGTATGAGGCTAGTTTTTTTGAGAGTGCTTTGTAGGCAGACTTAATAAAGTTAACCATAGTTCCTTAAAACTGTGCAATTATGATACGGATGGGATGCAGGGAAATGCTGGGTAGAAGAGGGCAGGATCCCTGGTGAGGGCTCCATCCTCAAGCCTGGACCCACTGCCCAAAGTGAGAACTAGTTCTGTTTTCCTAGCCAAATGTTGCCTTTTGGCCAGCCACACTCCCTATTCAGCATCCATAGGAGTCCGAAACCTCAGACTCAAACCATACATACACACAGAAGAGATAAGTATCTGGACATCAGGAGGAGAAGCAGCAGCTTCACATCAGAGACTACAGAGAGGAGTTCAGCAGGAGATGGCAGGACCCCAAGGGAAGATTATCTTCCCACTACACCCACTTTCAGGCTCCCTGTCCCTCTGGAGCCACTTCCACTGCTCAGTAAAGTCCTTCACATTCACCACTCTTCAGTTTATTTATGTGACCTGATTCTTCCTGAATGCTGGGCAAGAACTCAGGCACTAAGAGGGCAGGGTGTAAAAGGCTGTCAACCTGACCCTCCACTGAGCTAGTTATCACTTAGCCCTCCATGGATGGCAAACACTAAAACAGCACTGATTGTAACACCACCCTGTGGGACTCCAAGGGTCGCAGACAACCCCTCCTGGACCCCAGAGCTAAAAGAGCATTGTCACAAGCTTGGGAGCTGTCGTGGGCCAGCACAAAGCCTCTTTCCTCCAGAGAGGGTCAACCAGCCAGTCCCAGCTTTCATTTGCTCTGTTTCCTGCACAGGTCTGCTTGCATGCTCCCTCTCCTGCAAGGGGTTGGAGAGCTGTGGGAAAACTCTCTCTGCAATGTGAGGCTATAACAAGAAAATGAACATTTGCAAACCAGGAAGACTGCCCTAACCAGATACTGAGTCGGCCAGCACCTTTGTCGTGGACTTCCCAGCATCCAGAACTGTGAGAAATAAATGTTTATATAGTGTAAGACATCAAGTCTACGGTAATTTTTTTTTTTTGAGACAGAGTCTTGTTCTGTCACCCAGGCTGGAGTGGTGGCACAACCTCCACCTCCTGGGTTCAAGCAATTTTCCTACCTTAGCCTTCTTAGTAGCTGGGACAACAGGTGCTCGCCATCAGGCCTGGCTAATTTTTTTTTTTATTTTTAGTAGAGACAGGGTTTCTCTATGTTGGTCAGGCTGGTCTCAAACTCCTGAGCTGAGGTGATCCACCCACCTAGGCCTCCCAAACTGCTGGGATTACAGCCATGAACCACCATGCCCACCCAAGTCTATGGTAATTTGTTATAACAGCCCAAACTGACTAAAATGGCAATTTTATGAGCTCTTCAGCTTTTTTCTTAGAGTTTTGGAAAACTTGATTATTGGTATAATCTCAAAATTACTTAGGCAATGCCATCAGAACTCCAAAATATCTAATATAGTCCTTTTCCATGGGTTTCTGAGAGAGTTTTCTTCACATAAAGACAAGCGTTCTGTACCTGTAAGGACTCTTAGGAAAGCATGAGAGCAAAATAACTATCTGTGGATGACAAAAGACAGGATGGCTATAGTTGAAGATGTAATGAAAGTTCATTATAAGGGGGGGATCCCAAGATTGCCGAATCAGAGGCAGCTCCAGAAGGCAGCTCCCAGCAAGTGATGCAGAAGCCAAGTGGTCTCCACAATTCCAAATGAGGTACCAGGTTCGTTTTGTCGGTCTGGTTGGACAGTGGGTATAAACCAAATAGGGCAAGCTGAGGCAAGGCAGAGTATTGCCTACCCAGGAGGTGAGTGCAACTGACTGGGCGACTGGGGGATCTCCCCCTCTGGGACTTCGGTTTGGATACAGGGCTCCACCCAAGCCCTCTACAACCCACAGAACAGGAGATCTTCACAGGGCTGAAAAGCCTCAGCAAGCTGCCTGAACGGGGCAGAACAGCAACTTCAGCTGGTGCCAGGGCTGTTAGCCTAGATCTAGACGGAAGCACAGGCTGATGTGAAAGCCAGAAAGCCAGCTGGATGGAGCCACATGCCCCCCTAGAAAGAAGAGGAACTGAAAACAGGGAAACAGCCCATACGGCAAGACGGGTTCCCCCCACCCCCACGCCGCACAAAGCCAAGCAGGCTAAAAAACTCTCACTACAGAGTTTTGCACCCAGAACATCAGTTAGAGAGCGACCGGGAATGATCGAGCTTTGCAGGGGGAAAGGCAGCTGCCATTGCAAAAGCTGGCCTAATTTTCCTGAGTAAATAAAAGATGCAGCAGCTCCACTGAATCTGTGGCAGCCCAGCAGCGACTCTGCAGGCAGACAAAGGAAAGGCCACCTTCCCAAGCAGCTACCTGAGGTCAAAACTATACAAATCCAAGAAGATGCAAAGAAACCAGAGCAAGAAGAATGAAACCATCAGAAACCAGAATGGCTTTCACCCACTACGAGGTAACAAGTCCTCACCAGCAAGGGAACAAAGCCGGACAGAGAACGAATTTGACAAACTGACAGACGCAGGCCTCAAAAGGTGGGTGATAACAAACTTCTCTGAGTTAAAGGAGTATGTTTTATCCCAAAGCAAAGAAACTAAAAACCTTGAAAAAAAGGTTAGAAGAAATGCTAGCAGCTTAGAGAAGAAAAAAAAACAACTTGATGAGGCTGAAAAACACAGCACAAGAACTTCGAGAAGCATACGCATATTTCAATAGCCGAATCAACCAAGCAGAAGAAAGGGTATCAGAGACTGAATATCAGCTCAATGAAATAAAACAAGAAGGCAAGAAAGAGAATAAAGAGTGAAAAGAAATGAACAAAACCTTCAAGAAATATGGGATTATATGAAAAGACCTAATCTACACTTGATCAGTGTACTGGAAGATGATGGGAAGAATGAATCCAAGCTGGAAAACACTCTTCAGGATATTATCCAGGAGAACTTCTCTAACCCAGCAAGGCAGGCAAACATTCAAATACAGGAAATAGAGAGAATGTCGCAATGATACTCCTCTAGAAGAGCAACCCCAAGGCACATAATTGTCAGATTCACAAGGGTTGAAATGAAGGAAAAAATACTAAGGGCAGCCAGAGAGAAAGGTTGGGTGACCCACAAAGGGAAGCACATCAGACTCACAGTGGATCTCTTGGCAGAAACCCTACAAGCCAGAAGAGAGTGTGGGCCAATATACAATATCATTTAAAAAAAGAATTTTCAACCCAGAATTTCATATCCAGCTGAACTAACCTTCATAAGTGATGAAGAAATAAAATACTTTACAGACAAGCAATTGCTGAGAGATTTTGTCACTACCAGACCTGCCCTACAAGAGCTCCTAAAGGAAGCACTAAACATGGAAAGGAAAAACCAGTACCAGCCACTGCAAAAAAGAACCAAATGGTAAATACCAATGATGCAATGAAGAAATTATACCAACCAAACGGCAAAACAACCAACCAGTAATAAAATGCAGGATCAAATTCACACATAACAACATTAACATTAAATGTAAATGGCCTAAGTGCCCCAATCAAAAGACAGACTGGCAAATTGGATAAAAACCCAAGAACCATCAGTCTGCTGTGTTCAGGAGACCCATCTCATGTGCAAAGACACACATAGACTCAAAATAAAGGGATATAAGATTTATCAAGCAAACGGAGAGGAAAAAAAGCAGGTGTGGCAATCCTAGTCACTGATAAAACAGACTTTAAACCACCAAAAATCAAAAAAGACAAAGAAGGGCATTACATAATGGTAAAAGGATCAATACAACAAGAAGTACTAACTATTCTAAATATATGTGCACCCAATGCAATAGCACCCAAATACATAAAGCAAGTCCTTAATGACCTACAAAGAGACTTAGACTCCCACACAATAATAGTGGGAGACTTTAACACTCCTCTGTCAATATTAGACAGATCAACAAGACAGAAAATCAACAAGGAAATCCAAGACTTGAACGCAGATCTGGACCAAGTGAACTTAATAGACATTTACAGAACTCCCAACCCCAAATCCACAGGATACACATTCTACTCAGCACCACATCGAACTTACTCTAAAATCGACCACATAATTGGAAGTAAATCACTCCTCAGCAAATGCAAAAGAACAGAAATCATAACAAACAGTCTCTCAGACCACAGTGCAATCAAATTAGAACTCAGGATTAAGAAACTAACACAAAACCACACAACTTCATGGAAAATGAACAACTGACTCCTGAATACTGACTAGATAAACAATGAAATGAAGGCAGAAATAAAGATGTTCTTCGAAACCAATGAGAATGAAGACACAACATACCTGAATCTCTGGGACATATTTAAGCAGTGTCTAGATGGAAATTCATAACAATAAATGTCCAGATGAGGAGCAAGGAAAGGGTTAAAATTGACACCCTATCATCAAAATTGAAAGAGTTAGAGGTGCAAGATAAAAAAAAAAAAAACTCAAAACCCAGCAGAAGACAGGAAATAACTAAGATCAGAGCCGAACTGAAGGAGATGGAGACACAAAAAATCCTTCAAAAAAAAAATCAGTGAATCCAGGAGCTGGTTTTTTGAAAAGATCAAGAAAATATATAGACCAATAACCAGACTAATAAAAAAGAAAAGAGAGAAGAATCAAATACACACAATAAAATATGATAAAGGGGACATCACCACCAATTCCACAGAAATACAAACTACTATCAGCGATTACTACAAACAATTACATGCACACAAACCAGTAAATCTGGAAGAAATGGATAAATTCCTATACACTTGCATTCTCCCAAGACTAAACCAGGAAGAAGTTGAAACCTGAATAGACCTATAACAAGGGGTAAAGTTGGGGCAGCAATTAATAGCCTACCAACTAAAAAAAGCCCTGGTCTAGATGGGTTTGTAGCCAAATTCTACCAGACATACAAAGAGGAGCTGGTACCATTCCTTCTGAAACTATTCCAAACAATAGAAAAAGAGGGAATCCTTCCCAAATCATTTTATGAGATCAACATCATCTTAATACCAAAACCAGGCAGAGACACAACAAAAAAAGAAAACTTCAGGCCAATAGCCTTGATGAACATAGATGCAAAAATCTTCAATAAAATACTGGTAAACAGAATGCAACAGCAAATCAAAAAGCTTATTCATCATGATCAAGTAGGCTTCATCCCAGGGTTGCAAGGCTGACTCAACATACGCAAGTCTAGAAACATAATCCATCACATAAACAGAACCAAAGACAAAAACCACATGATTATCTCAATTGATGCAGAGAAGGCCTTCAATAAAATTCAACAGACCTTTATGCTAAAAACCCCCAATAAACTAGGTATCGATGGAACATATCACAAGATAATAAAAGCTATTTACAACAAACCCACAACCAATGCCATACTGAATGGGCAAAAACTGGAAACATTCCCTCTGAAATCTGGCACAAGACAAGGATGTCCTCTCTCACCACTCTCTTTCAATATAATACTGGAAGTTCTAGCCAGAGCAATCAGGCAAGAAAAAGCAAAAAAAAAAAGGATATTCAGTTAGGAAAAGAGGAAGCCAAATTGTCTCTATCTGAAGATGACATGATTGTACATTTACAAGACCCCATTGTCTCAGTCCAAAATCTCCTGAAACAAATAAGGAACATCAGCAAAGTCTCAGGATATAAAAATCAATGTGCAGAAATCACAAGCATTTCTATATACCAATAACAGACAAACAGAGAGCCAAATCAAAAGTGAACTCCCATTCACAATTGCTACAAAGAGAAAAAAATATCTAGGAATACAACTAACAAAGGATATAAAGGACCTCTTCAAGAACTACTAACAACTGCTCAATGAAATAAGAGAGGACACAAACAGATGGAAAAACATTCCATGCTCATGATTGGGAGGAATCAACATCATGAAAATGGCCATACTGCCCAAAGTAATTTATAGATTCAACACTATCCCCATCAAGCTACCAATGACCTTCTTCACAGAACTGGAAAAAAACACATCAAACTTCATATGGAACCAAAAGAGAGCCCGCATAGCCAAAACAATCCCAAGCAAAAAGAATAAAGCTGTAGGAATCATTTTATACTACAAGGCCTGGCTTCAAATTATACTACAAGGCTACAGTAATCAAAACAGCATGGTACTTGTACCAAAGCAGAGACAGACCAATGGAACAGAACAGAGGCCTCAGAAGCAACACCACACAACTACAATCAACTGATCTTTGACAAACACGACAAAAACAAGCAGTGGGGAAAGGATTCCTTGTTTAATAAATGGTGTTGGGAAAGCTGGCTAGCCATATGCAGAAAGCAGAAACTGGACCCCTTCTTGACACCTTACACTAAAATTAACTCCAGATGGATTAAAGACTTAAACATAAGACCTAACACCATAAAAACCCTAGAAGAAAACATAGGCAAAACCATCCAGGACATAGGCATAGGCAAGGACTTCCTGACCAAAACACCAAAAGCATTGACAACAAAAGCCAAAATAGACAAATGGGACCTAATCAAACTCCACAGCTTCTGCAGAGCAAAATAAACAGTCATTAGAATGAATCGGCAACCAACAGAATGGGAAAAAATTTTGCAATCTACCCATCCAACAAAGAGCTCATATCCAGAATCTACGAAGAACTAAAACAGGTTTACAAGAAAAAAACAAACAAGCTGGGCGCGGTGGCTCACGCCTATAATCCCAGCACTTTGGGAGGCCGAGGCGGGTGGATCATGAGGTCAAGAGATCAAGACCATCCTGGTCAACAAGGTGAAACCCTGTCTCTACTAAAAATACAAAAATTAGCTGGGCATGATGGTGCGTGCCTGTAGTCCCAGCTACTCGGGAGGCTGAGGCAGGAGAATTGCCTGAACCCAGGAGGCAGAGGTTGCAGTAAGCCGAGATTGCGCCATTGCACTCCAGTCTGGGCAACAACAGCGAAACTCCGTCTCCAAAAAAAAAAAAAAAAAAAAAAAAAAAAAAAAAACCCATTCAAAACTGGGCGAGGGATATGAACAGACACTTTACAAAAGAAGAAATCTATGAGGCCAACAAACATATAAAAAAATGCTCATCATCACTGGTCATTAGAGAAATGCAAATCAAAAACACATTGAGATACCATTTCACACCAGTTAGAATGGCGATCATTAAAAAATCTGGAGACAACAGATGCTGAAGAGGATATGGAGAAATAAGAACAATTTTACACTGTTGATGGGAGTGCAAATTAGCGCAACCATTGTAGAAGACAGTGTGGTGATGCCTCAACAACCTAGAAATAGAAATTCCATTTGACACAGGAATCCCATTACTGGGTATATACCCAAAGAATTATAAATTGTTCTATTATAAAGACGTATGCACATTTATGTTCACTGTAGCACTGTTTACAATAGCAAAGACCTGGAACCAAACCATATGTCCATCAGTGATAGACTGGATATAGAAAATGTGATACATATACACCATGGAATAATATGTAGCCATAAAAAAAGAGTTTGTGTCCTTCATAGGGACATGGATGAATTTAGAAACCATCATTCTCAGCAAACTGACACAAGAATAGAAAACCAAACACTGCATGTTATCACTCATAGGCAGGTGTTGAACAATTAGAACATGTGGACACAGGGAGGGGAGTATCACATATGGCAGTCAGTTGTGGAGGGCTAGGGGATGGAGAGCAGGGGGTAGGGAGGGTGGGGTGGGATAATGAGGGGAGAAATAACAGATATAGGTGATGGGGAGATGAAGGCAGCAAACCACCTTGCCATGTATGTACCTATGCAACAATCCTGCATGATCTGCACATGTACCCCAGAACCCAAAGTACAATTATAAGAAAAGTTCATTATAGGAATACAATTGATGAGGAAATTTGGTTGCTTTGTGACATGTTATTTTAAGTAATAACTAAAATTTTAACCAATAACATTATATGAGGACATATCTTAAATAGGAAGAACACTGATGATTTATAGGAACTTTATATTCCTTCTGAAATATCTCTTCTTTGATAATGCTTCCCATGGGATTTAGTGAAAAAAATAATAAAAAACCTAAATAGTCTAGCGTATCCCTTTTAGCAAGGTAAGAAAACAAATCCTTTATGTTTTCCAGGGGCTCTCTGGGAAACTTCAAGTTCACTTCAAAATCCAGAAAACTTTACTTAAAATTTGATTCAGGGAAGTTGTCAAAAATGTCAAAAGATTTGAATATTCAATTAAAGATTATAGGTAATTGTGAAAAAATAATTATCTATTTAACATAATGGTTATAAAATACCTCAAATATAAATATAGGAGATAACATGAAAGAATCTGTTCTCTTAAAAAATCGAGGACATGATAAAAAACAACACAGCATAGAAAACTATTTTGAAAAGACACAGAATCCTTGTTTTCCAGGCTAAACAGAAACCTTTTATCATCTCTTTTATTTATTTATTTTTAAGACTAGAACTCCTGGGCTCAAGTGATCCAACTAGTTCAGCCTCCCAGAGTGCTAGGATTAACAAGCATGAGCCTCCATGCTCAGTTATAATTTCTTATTAAGAATAGATTGATAAGCCAAGAAACTTTATCGTTTTAACAGAGATAAAAACCAAACCCTAGTCTTGTGTCAATACATTTTCCTAATTTAAAAAACAAAAAAAAATCCTGGGCATAGTGGCTCACCCCTGTAATCCCAGCACTTGGAGAAGCAAAGGAGGGCAGAACACCTGAGGTCAGGAGTTCAAGACCAGCCTCACCAACATGATAAAATCCCGCCTCTACTAAAAATACAAAAAAATTAGTTGGGTGGGGTGGCACACACCTGTAGTAGTCCCAGTTACTCAGAAGGCTGAGGCAGGAAATTGCTTGAATCTGGGAGGCATGCAGTGAGCTGAAATCACACCACTACACTCCAGCCTGGGTAACAGAGGGAGACTCCATCTCAAAAACATAAATAATAAATAAATTTTTAAAATCTGTCCAGGCACAATGGCTCACACTGGTAATCCAGCAATTTGGGAGGCCAAAGCAGGAGGATTACTTGGGGCCAGGAGTTCAAGGCTACAGGAAGCTATAATCATGCCACTGCACTCCAGCCTAGGTGACAGAGTGAGACCCGACCTTTGAGAAAAAAAAGAAAAAAAATCTTTTTTTCCAGATGCAAGCCTATTCGAATGAAAAAATAAATCTTATAAATAAATCTATTTAATCTTAGTCAGTTTTTAACTCACAAAATTAAATTCCTTTTTTGCATATTTTCTACAACTTCCTTATTCATTCAGATTCTATCCTATGCTTTCCTTTTTTCTCATTCCACTTTAGGTCAAAATTACTCTGCTTTTTTCCTTAACAAAAACGCATTCTACATTCCTTGCATACTTTTCATATAAAAACACATTGTACGTTACTCCCATACCTTATATACAAAGTTGTTTTTTTCAATATTACAATTTCTAGGGGTTTTATTTTTATGTATTGATTACAAGGTTTAACTATTTTCACTAATGGTCAAAATATTTTCTAAAACTGTTTGGTTTATTGTCCAATCTTTCTTAACTTTTTCTTTTTAGTTTATCAAATAGTTTTATTCCAATGTAAAAGGCATCCAGATTATCTAGACCACCATACAACCAGAGGCTAAAATTCCAGATTTCATAAAGTTAAATAAATTTAAATGATATTGAATATAATCATTTACTTACTAGTATTTTTATTTTTTAATTTGTTTTTTAATTGACATAATAATTATATATATATGGGGTATGTAGTGATGTTGTGATACATACAAAGTATAGTGATCAGATCAGGGTAATTAGCGTACACATCATCTCAAACATTTATCATTTATTTCTGTTAGAAATGTTTAATATCCTCCTTTAGCTATTTGAAACTACATAATATATTATTGTTAATTATAGTCATCCTACGGTGCTGTAGAGCACTAGAATTTATTTATCCTATTTAGCTGTAAGTTTGTATCCTTTAACAAATCTTTCCCTCTCCCTCTTCTTCCCTTCCCCCTTTACTTCCCATCCTCCAGTATGTTCTGTTCTAATTTTCACTTCTATCAGATCAGTGCTTTTTAGCTCCTACATATGAATAAGAATATCCACATTGCCACAAATAACAGGATTTCATTCTTTTTCACAGATGAATAGTAGTCTGTTAACTATATATCACATTTTCTTTATGTGTTCATCTGTTGTTGGATACCTAGGTTGATTCTGTATCTTGGATATTATAAATGGTGCTACAATGAGAGTGCAGTATTTCCTTTCCTTTGGATAAATGCCCAGAAGAGGGATTGCTGTAGTTCTATTTATAGATTCTTGAGGCACCTCCACACTGCTCTACATAGTGGCTGTACTAGTGTATATTCCCACCACCAGTGTTTAAGAGTTTCCTTTTCTCCACATCCTTGCCAGCATTTGTTATTTTTTGTATTTTTTATGATAGCTACCCTAACTGGAATGAGATGATACATTATTGTGACTGTGACTCACATTTCCCTGAAGATTAATAATGTTGAATATTTTTCATATTTTTTGGCCATTCATATATGTCTGTTCAAATCATTTGCCCATCTTTTAATACAATTGTGTTTGTGTATGTGTGTGTGTGTGTGTGTGTGTTGTTTGTTTTTGTTTCGGTTTTTATTGTTGAGAAGTTTATGTTCTTGTATATTCTGGACACAAATCCCTGTTGGATAAATAGTTTGCAATTTTTTTTCTCATTCAACGAGTTGTCTTTTAGTTGTCTGTTAGTTGTTTCACTTGCCCTGAAGAAGCTTTTTAGTTTGATATATTCTCATCTATTTTTGCTTTTGCAGACTGTGCTTTTGAGGTCTTATGCACAAAATCTTTTCCCAGGCCAATGTTCCAAAGCATTTACCCTATGTTTTCTACTAGTAGTTTTACAGTTTTTAGTCTTACATTTAGGACTTTGATTCATTTTGAGTTTTCTTTAGGGTGAGAGGTGGGGGTCTAGTTTCCAAACTCTTCTGCATATGTATATTCAGTCTTCCAAGCAACATTCACTGAAGAAATTGTATTTTCCCCAATGAGCGTTCTCGGAGGTTCTATCAAAATCAGTTATAACTTGATCACCTTTGGGAAGAAAAAAAAAAAGAGGTGAAATTACAGGCAGATGGAAGGTAAGACTAGATTGCAGCTCCAACTTGGACAGACAGAGCAGTGTGTGGAGATTCACATTGGGAATTTTTGCTCCAGAAAGACTGTAGGAATAAATCCAGAAACCAGAGAGTACCCAGAGACCCCCTGAAGAAAGCAGACTGCTCCTGAAATGATGTGCTGGTACCCAC